TAGAACATTTTTGGCTTATAAACTAAAATTTTAATTTTTTTGAAGTTTCCTCCCTTTCTATTGCAAAGACCCCATATGGATAATTATAAGCTTGGTATATATTAACCCTTTTACCCGGAATTATTTCGAATATGTTTTATAATAATTCTATTTCTAAACTTACCTTAATAGCAAGAATTCCAATTTATGCTAAGCAATCATTGCTTAAAAGACGATTTCAAATTCTTTCACCTATTAAGCAAAAATTTGAGACAATTGAAAATTCATTGATAAGTAAAGGTACATATATTTTTTTATATTATATGTGAATTTTTTTTATATTTATCTAATATTACCAATGTCATATCAAATGTTTTTTAATCAGTGAAGCCCGTAGTTAACATCACAGACAAAATGAATTCATTTAAAAAATCCTATTGGATAGATGATTTAAACAATCATGTTAAAACAAAATCAACAAGTTCCCAAAGGAATTCTAACAGTGCCGGAAAAGTTCCTAAAAGGGAATTGAAAGTAAGAAAAATGACGGATTCTTATGAAGAAGAAATTTTACCATTTAAAAGTGATCCTGAATTATTGGAAGAATATGTAAATCCGTATGGTAGTATCAGGTAATAATAATTCAATGAAGTGTAAAAAAAACCGTCGAATCATATCATAAAATATTTGTCAAAACAGGATTGGAAAAATATTTGAAAACTTGGATTTGTTAGCGGGACAAATTGCTTATAAACACTGTTCTATTGAAATGGAACAAAATTCTGATTTAACTATTGTGACAGCTTCACTTGATAGATTAGATTTAATTAAACCCTTACCTATAAGCGACATAAGACTTAGTGGTACGTATTTACAAACGAGATCTTTCTTTGTATAATAACCTAGTTATTTAACTATCTATTTATCACAGGTCATATAACTTATGTTGGTTATAGTTCCATGGAAGGTACTTTATCCCCTAGTAAATAACATATATATTTGAATAGGTTAATTTATTTTTTATTCAATAAATTAAGCGTTAATAAAGATAGAAGCATTAAAAGATGAAAAGTCCGATGATGATCATATAAAAGGAGACACGTTAATGATGGCAAGAGTTGTTATGGTAGCAAAAAAATGCATTTACAGGTCGTTCTGTACAAATAAATCCTCTTCAATTAGAAAATGATAATCAAAAGAAACTATTTCAAATAACTGAAGGTATGAAAAGGGTGTAGATTGGATAGATAAATAATATATATATTAAACAAATTACATGCTTTAATTAGAGCAAAAGAATAGAAGGTTTAAGTCTGCTGCTACGGCTCTTTCAAAATTACCTCCAACAGAAGAAGAAAAACTTATTATTCATGATTGTTATCTCGAACATTGCAAATATGCTGGTAAATAAGTATTTTTTAAGATTTTGTCAAATTTTTTGATGAAATATTATATTGTTTTAACTATTTTTTTTTTTAAAAAAAAAATCCAGAACAAAAAGAAAAAACGCTCGAAAATATGAAATGGATGGATGAAACAATCATGGAATCGGTTACATTAATGCAACCGCAGGTACATTATATGTATATTTTTTTTTTTGTTCCGAATATAAATTATCATAACCGAATCTCTTCTTTCTTTCTTAGAAACGAAGTCTACATGGCTTCATATTTGGTGGATACTTAATGAAACTAGCATATGAGGTAAATAAATCTTTCTTTTCTCTTTATTAAATGAATCTAATTTAATCTAATTTTTTTATTTCCAGCTCGCATTCTCTAATGCATCGGTATTTTTGAAAAGTCGACCGACATTTTTGGCTTTGGATGAAATATCATTTAGAAAACCCGTTCATATTGGTTCGATTCTTATCATGACATCACAAATTGTTTATGCGCCCGGGCCACCACATAAAAGCTTTCAAGTTGCGGTAAGTTTGTAAATTACATGAATTTAAAAAATTATTATTTTTATTTTTTTTAAATTATTTGCTTTTGTAAA